CACCACGGCAAGTTCATATCAAATTGGGTGGGAAAACTCGGTGGAACTGTTTTTGATGTCGTACCATTCCCCCCTCCTTCCTTCAAGTATCTTCAGTTCAAATGTGAACTGATTGTGACGAGTGGTTCTTTTTTACATCATTTTTAAAATAGGATTTTAATTATAATCACCCCCTGTATATTGTATGTACATCATTCCTACTATTTTTTATTGTTATAAGAATTATTCTTTTTTTTTTTTTGTTCTCCTAGGAATTTTAAATATTATTATTAATTTAATAACAATTATAATTCTTTTAAGAAAATGGCATGTTAAACGAAATAAAGTACAAAAAAATTATTTAAAAATAAAAAAAATTATATCTGCAGTTGCTTTGATATGACTAGTATTAACGTTGTGCTTTTTTTTTTTTTTAGTGTTTTGAAACATCTACTTTTGTCTCAGTCTAAAACTTGTATTCATTTGCATCCCGGATAGTGTGAAAATAAAAACTTGATTAAAGTGAATCCCAGAAGTATAGCTTTAACTTCAGATGCATGCAATGTTTTAAATATTTAGCAATGTCATTCATGTTTACTTTAATTATTAAAATTCTAATAATTGCTTAATTTTGAAAAAAAAAAATGCTCTACTACTTTTATGCTAATGACAAATACTATACGGGTATTTTTAATTTATCAAACCGTTTTTGTTGATATTTCAATTCTTTTTTATTTCTATTTTTTGCAATTGAAGAGGCTATTTAAAATTAATAACTTAGATCTGTAATTTTTACCTGATAAGATGCTGACTGACTTTACCTTCAGATGTATGTTTTACATATTTATTAATGTCTTATGTTTGTTTTATTTATTAAAATTCTAATATTTAACTATCTTTTAATATGTGTTCTTTATGTTAACATATCTTTTACTTTTATGTTGATTAATAGTACTATAGAATTTTTTTTTTTTTTTCTTTTATGAACATGCTTCTATTGATGCTTTTAAAATCTTTTATTCCTATTTTTTATTTCACGGCATTATCTAAAATTTATCTATAAATTGTACTTGTTATTGTGAAAAAATGAGCACTTTTTAAGAACGAAATATTATAAAATATAAAAAGTAAAGATGCCCAAGATTTATCGTTTTTATGAGGTTATATTAGGATAGATTAATTTATCTGATTAGTTCTTTTTATATTTTGTATCACGTTCTTAATAAATTGAAAGATTTACTAAACTTAGTATTCAATAACTGCTTAATAAATTTATTTGTTTACTTTGAAGATTATTCTTTAAGAAAGCAACCTATCAAAACATATTACAAGAAATACTTTTTTATTCATGTTTACCATTTTCGTCCTTAATATGAGGTACTTTTTTTTAAAGATTTGGCTTATTTTTATATTTGTTTTTCTTTTCTTTTCAATACAACTTTCTATTCCATTTCTTGTAATTTTCTCTTCTTTTTATCAAAATTTTTTGTAATAATGTAATAGTTAATAATTTTATTATATAAAATATGTCTGCTATCTGCAAGGGTGGTAATTAAAAGTTAAGTAATAATGTATAAAAAAATCATTGCAATTTGTTTTTACCTGTCATGCTTTATGTGGATTTATTATTTTTTTTTTAAAAACTTTTATAATAAATTGAAAGTGTTGATGGATTTACTACATTGTTCTTTTAAATGTGTTTGTTTTGTTAGAATAGTGTTCTCTATTTAAAGAAATAGCATATTGTAGGGGATATATTTTAATATTTTCATTATTAATATGTGTTAGTTTTCAAAACTTTAGGTAATCTGTTTACTTTCCTTTTGGTTGGCGGTCTGCTGACAAATTGGCTAGTGTTCTGGCCTGTGGTACCATAGGCTTTAGGTTCATATCCTGGCTGGGGCTTGGATGTTTGTTAACGGTTTGTGTAATCCACTTAAACTGCAGGTCCCCATCTAATTAGCCCAAAACTACCGTAGAGCAACAAACAAAATCTTTTGGCTGCATTTCAGTTTTCCATTCCATTTTTTGAAGATTAAATTTTCTTTGCATGTTTTTTTCTTTTTATATTGACTTTTTGATTTCTGTTAATATTTATTTTTATCATGTATAAATTTATACTTTTTTTAAAGAAAATTTTTTAACAAAATACTATAAAATTTAAAAGATAGTTTTATTATATTTACATGCATGCTAAACAATTAAAGAATTTTTTTCTGTCATATTTTGGTGGGATTATCCAAGTGTGATTTTCGTAGATTAATTAAATTTTACGCAGTTTTACAATAAACTTAAATATTATCAATACGCTCTCTTATCGCATGCGCAGTAGTGCAATGTTTTTAATGAACATGCACGCTAGAAAAATAAAAAAAATAACGGAATGGATGATACGATAGAAAAAACCGGTATGCAAAATCTCTCTATTATTAAATGAATTTAAAATTTATTAATACTACAAATCAGTTAAGTTTAGCACTCATATTAATAACCAGACTAAACTTTATCATGTACTCCTGTTTTTTAATTAAACTTTCAATAGCTTGCTTGTAATCCATTTTTTAGTTCCCGTTTGATTGTTTTTAATTGAACACATTTTGGGCGACGCATTATGAAACTTGAAATTTGGTTAGAGTTTTGGGGGGGAATAATCCCTTCTTTGCCCCCCTCCGCCCCCACAAAATTTGTAAAGCTGCACGTGTGCTCGTCAGAAGATGTTTTAATAGGCTAATCACTGCAATTTTCAGCGCTAAAGAATTTGCTGAAGTATTTTTTTTCATGGATTCAAATCTTTTAAGTCAGTATTCTCAAATTTTTGCATGGTATTTATTTTTATATTAATTAATTTTGATACACTATTAGTCCTTTAAAATAAACAAATTCCTTTAAAAATTGCATCTCTATTTAAGATACATTTTTGAAAATATATACAATTTAAAGAAAAAGATTTATTTTATCCCCATTTCTCCCTTTTTGCATATAAGTATCATCTGCAGTATTTGGCTGTGGTTATTATCTGTAATATTTGATTAACATAGCTGTGGCTTATATATACACATTTACAGAAACACATTTGAAGAAAATAAACTTCATTCAATCAGAAGGCTTTGGAACTTTTTTTTGTCGTATTTTAAGACTTTAGGCTCGAATAGCTCAGTCGGTAGAGTGTTAAGCTTTAACACAGGGGTGGTCAACCCGCGGCCCGCCTTGAAAATTTTTCCGACCTGTGAGATCTACCACACTTTTACAAAATATATTTATTTTATAATGGTCAAAATAATGAAAACCAATGTATTAAAAATTCATTTTGAATATTTTCCTTTTTTTTTTTTAAATAATGATGACTTAGAATAGGGGTGGGCAACCAGAGGTCCGCCTTGAATATTTCTGTATTTGAATACTTTTACAAAATATTTGAATACTTTTACAAAATATTTGAATACTTTTACAAAATATATTTATTTTATAATGGTTAAAGTTGTGAAAAACCAATGTATTAAAAATACAATACGTGTGCATCCTATATTCTAAAATTAACTGCCGAAAAAGATGAGAAAAAATTAATTTTGATTTTTAAAAATAATATTCTTGCGAATATAGGACATATACTGCCTGTTTTATTGACGAGTTTACAGTTAGGAGTTCGCAGAATAATTAAATTATATTCTGCGAATTCATGATGCGCGCGCATCTTGGAACATCTAATGAAACAGTTTCTATGTTTCACTTTACGTGACCTCTGTGACCAACCCTAGATATGCACAATTCATTGTTGATAACAGAGAAGACCAGACTCTCAGTTTAAATCGAAAATTTGCTTTTGGTTTTGTTTCGTGTGCTATGACTGCAGATAATTTTTAATATACCATACTTTAATATGCCTGTACCTTAGATTATCTATGTTTACATGTAAGAATAATAGCAAACACAAAAATAATAACTCATTCTGTTTTACTTCTTCACCCAGAAAAACGTCTATAGTGGGTCTAATTGTAAGAAGAGGATACATAATTTTATATGCGGCTCATGGAGTTAGGATGCACTTGAAGGTGGCCCTCAAGATTATTTGTCTTGGCCACCCCTGTTTTAACCCTAAGGTGCCAGTCCATGAATCTGCGGAATTATTGGTAATTAACTGCTAGAAAACGTTTTACCCAAGTCGATGTGTTTTTAGATGTTAAGGCCATCCTAGACGACTTACCAGAACAGCATCATGTTCGCACATTATTAAAAACAAACATGAAAAATATATGCAACACCTGTCAAGCCTCTGTTATTAGTAAACACTGCGTTAATAAAAATTTCTCTATGTATTTTTAATCAAATCAAAAAACTTATTCTAAGTTAATCTAATTGAGTTATTATTGTATATGCTGTACTTTCTCTTGAGGTGAACGTTTTCGGCATTTCTTATTAAATAAGTCTTGTAAGCAATGTCTTATCTTTTGTGTTTCAGTCCTTCCAGTATGAATGAACAAAAGTCTAAATCGAAAAGAAGAACCACGAGTCCGGCAGCGGAAGCCAAGAGTCGACGTTTGGAGTCCTCTGAAAAGTCGAGCGGCCAAAAGAGCGATTCTCTGAAAAAGTCCTCTGAAAAGTCAAGCAGTCCCAAAAGTAAAGAAAGTGTTGCCAAACAGCCTTATAAAACAAAATGGGAACCCACCACTTCCAGTGACGCAAGTTTCCAGGTAATCAGATTGAAGCTACATAACAATTTAAAATTTTTAATTAATATGATACCTTTTCTTTTCTAATGCAGCTAACAATACTAGGCAGTTAGCCTTTATGCCATAAGCAATTGCTGCACCGCTGTTACTCATTTAGCACTACCTAGGGGGCATATGTAGCTTAAAGATATGCTACGGACGCGAGTAACATTACCCCCCCCACACACACACACAACGCTTTACGTTCCTATTATACCGGGACCTACGGTTTAAAGTAGATTCCGAACCTCTACAAACATCCATGGCATCAGAGCGCTAGTCACTCGGCCATCAGTTCCCTAAAATTTTGAATGCCAACGACACGCGGTGTTTCCAGGTGGTGACCCTTCCAAATGCTGACAGCGCCCGATGATGTTTGACTTCGGTGATTTGAATGAGAACCTGTATAGTCAACAAGGTATGCACATTGGAGTTCATTGTGATAGAGTGGCGTACGTCCTCTTTGAATAAGTCCAACCTGTTATACGATTGTTTTCGGTATACAACCTATTTTTTTTTCGTGGAATATAAACTCTCGCATGCCTCCAAATCTTTGCCAAATAGATGAGTGTCAAAAAGCTTTGCAGAGAAGTATCATTTAAAACCGTAATTTATATGATGTAAGTGATTTTTATGGTCTATGGATTTAAAGAGTTCTATTTATAAAACAGATTTTTTTTTTCCCGTGAAGTAGTTCTGTTCTTTCGTTTCTGTTAAATTCTGTTCTTTTCTTTTTTTTTTTAATTTTTCGTTAATAGAATATTTCCTTTTTTATTCCATTCAACCATTTGAACAAGGTAAAACGCTTAAGATTAATCTTTTACAATTAGTACTACAATTATCTGAACAAATTTTGAGAAAATAGTTCTTCCGATAACCTATATCATATTTCTCGATTAAGGAATAAAGTTCACTGTTGTATTTTACTTTCTTGCATCGTCTGCCTTCGAAATTAATGTGATTAGTTCTTTAAGATACGAAATGAATGCCAGCATGGTCTGGCTTTAGCATTCGTAACGCACGATGCATTAGATGAATTATTCGCATGGTAATCGTTTTAACCACTCGTGATACCTCACTAATTAATACTATTCCCGTCATCTTCAGGTCTGTCCTCCGAAGAAGGAAGAAGCACTTCAGCCATCAACTCCTCCCGTACGATTTAAGGATTTGCTCGACAACAGGGAGAAAATCGTGGACCACCTCTTCCGCACTGTAACCGGAACTGCACTTGAGGAGATAATCCCGGATTATCTGAAGGTACACGTTAATGAAAATCTTATTTTCAGAATCGTGTTTTTAAAGTGCGTTTATAATTAAATAACGCCTCGCGCCACCAACTTGAAATTTAATTCCATTAAATGTCTCTTTTTCTTGCCTTTGGGATTATGTCTCGATAATGAAAAGATCTTCTCCTGCGAGACTTTTTTTCTCAATTTACGCTAAATGCCTAAAGATGGGCAATATTAAAAGTTATACTATTAAATTTAATACTATTTTTTAGTTCAAAGTTCAAGTTTTTTAGTTAGGTTTTTTTGTTCAAATTTTAATAGAAATTATTGTCTGAAAGTGTGTAAAATAATTTGTTATATATATAACTCTGGCAATAGTTTAATATAAAATTCTAAGAATATATTTTTCGTTTGGCGCGGAATGATGATTATGTTGCCATTTAAGTCATTTGATTTTCTTCTATACAGGTTACGTTACGAATCATTTACAGGTTATATTACAAATCATCATACTGGCCGCATTACGAATCTTATAAAAATTCGCTACGAATCATCTATAAATTACGTTACGGAACATCATACAAGTTATGTTGATGATTCGTAACGTAATAGTAATGTACGAATTATAAACTGGTTGCTTTATAAATCATTATACAGATGTTACTAATCATCTACAAGCTACATTACGAATCATATAAGTTATGTTAAGAATCATATAAATTGCATAAACGAATCATCATAGGAGCGATGTTACGAATTATCTACAGGTTACGTTCATTGCAAATCATCTACAGGTTACGTTATAAATCATCTGCAGGTTACGTTACGAATCATGTACAGGTTACGTTATAAATCATCTACAATTTGTATTACGAATCACCTACAGGTTACTTTACAAATCAACATACAGGTTACGATGCGAATCATCTAGAAATTAAATTACATATCATATTGATTATGTTACATATTATGTACAAATTATACTATGTTTCATAATACAGGTTACGTTATGAATCATCTACAAGTCACTTTACGAATCATTATTCAAACTATATTACGAATCATCTACAGCATAAAGTTTTGAGTGACAGTTCTATTTCTCTTTAAAAAAATTGTCCTGTCAAGGCTTTTTTGTATTACTCTGCATGTCCATAAAAAACTTAAATGTTATTATTTAATTTAAAAAATTAATAATTGATATTATAAATACACAATATAAATTCACGAGTAATTTTAAATGAACAGCTAGTATTTCCTTGCTCTATTTTCGTGGATTTTTCTAAATGACTTTAGCTTGATGATATGGTAATATATGTCACCCTGCGGCTACCATGGCATGTCCAAACCAGTCTACGATGATAGACCTTAGATTTGCTTATATTCCCGAAAACATCAAACCTCTGATTGAGGGAATCTTTTATGAGACGAATTCAGAAAACATAAACTTAGCAAATATTTTTCAATGAACGTGACGCATCATCCATTCAGAAAGGAGAGTGTTTGTTAAACCGCATGTACTCGTGCATCCCTCCACAGGCGCTGGATTCGTACATCACTTGGCATGAAACTCAGAAGCTGAGCTTCTGTATGCAAATTCTTTTCCACAAACGCCTCGGTGAGTTGACCAGTCTCATTGCTTTAGACCAGGAGTGGCAACCCAAATGAGCTTGCGGGCCACTTTGAAATGCATCCTAACTCCGCCGGCCTCATATAAAATTATATGAATATACATCATATCATCATATTTAGACCCACTATATAGAATATAGATTATATTTAGACCCACTATAGACTTTTGTTTGGAGGGAAAAATTGAAACATAATCAGTTATCATTGTGCTTACTATTATTCTAAAATGTAAACATAGATAATATAATATTAATGATACTAAACGCACATTGTAAAGAAATATATGACACTAAAAAGGAAATACAAAAAATACGTAAATATAAATGAAATTTAAAAAAAATGAAACCATTAAAAAATATTTATTTTACTAATGCGATATTTCTTTCTCCACTTAGCTTTTGCCAATCGACCTCCATTTGGATATTTGTACATCGTAATGGCTTATTATTATGTTAGCGTCCATTATGTTTAAGCGTGTTGTGTGTTGGGTCAATTTCATTTTCGAAAGAAAAAAAAAAAAAAAACGATTCGCAGGTGTAAGTTGAACCAAAAGCGCTAATAATTTGAACTAAGAGTTTGTTTTGTTCTGCTATCAACAGTCAACTGTGCGTATCTAGAAAGGGTCACTGAGGTCACTTAAAGGGAAAGATAGCACCTGTTATATTAGATGTTACAAGATGCGTGCGCATCATGAGTTCGCAGAATATAATTGAACTGTTCTGTAAATTCATAAAGAAGAAGGGAGATTCTTTGCAAATTGGAGATTCTTTGTTGGAGAGTTGGAAATTCTCACCACATGAGTTGCTTGTAAAACACTTCCCAAAGGCTAATAGTGATAGCCTGTTCATAGAATTATGCACACAAAGGCAGTTTCCAATGACTCAAAATCAAACGCTAACATTTTCGACAGATAAAAGTTTTTTTAGCAATCTAAGTGGGAAATAATTTAACTTTATTAATACGAATGACTCTTCCAAATTGAAACTAAAATTTTGTGCAAATATTTTCACATTTTATACTCCAGTCACAATTACTGGAGATTTCTAAAAACAGATGAGCTTATTTTGCAATATTACCTTTTAAAAATAGCTATCGTAAAGCAGGAGTAAAAAGAAAAAAATCAAAACGGTCATTTTCCCGTCAATGAATTCGTAGCCATAAAGAACAGTCATTTAAATCGATTACATCTTGCCGCCCTCTAATGCGAAAATTTAAAAACATAACAAAGTTTCCGCGTCTAACAAATGAGAACTCGTTTTTGGAGAAAAAAATAAAATATTTTAAAAGTGCGATAAATCTCGCGCACAACACTGCGCGCGGCACTCGCACTTGTCAGAAGGGAACAACTGAAAACCGCCCATTTTCAATTGATTTTTCAGAATAAAAATGACCTCATAAATTCAGCAAATATGTTTTCAAATATATTTATCATGAGGAAAAAATACATCCACTTTGATTTCCGATGAAAAGTCATTAAATAATGCTAGGAATAGTTTCATTACTTTCATAAGAGAAATGCCAAACGATTATCATAGATTTAAAAAGTCACACAGCTTGGAAAACAAAATGTATGACGCAAATACTTTCGTTGGTATTTTGAGAGTACATAATTCAATAGAATAAGCAATAATCCTATTAATTAATATTATAATAATAGAATAATATGACTCAATTCAATACAATATTAATAGAATAATTATATTACATGATCGAGTGACTAGCGCGCTGGCGTTCTGTGCCAAAAAATTTCGAGTTCGAGTTTCGGCGGTGCCATGGATGTTTGCAGGGCTGCCAACTCTACCCCGTGAAAAGAAAACAACTCTTGTTTCGAAATCTGCCAGTAGGCCTCAGTCCACCGCTGTTGGAATGAATAGTTGGAATGAGTTTGGAATTGTTTTAATGAGTTGGAATGCTGACCAATGAATAAGAAGAATATTATCTAATTCAATAGAATAATAATTATTTCGATAGATTAATTACTGAATTCATAAATTAATTCATTACTGAATTCATAAATTATAAACAAAACTTCACAATGTCCTGTAATTTCGGAAATAGTTAAGTTCTTTGATGGAAACAGATTCAAATACAACAAGCATTTCGTTTAAATGACTACTCATGATTTAAAAAAAAAAAAAAAACACGAAACTTGTGGTACCGAGCGCCAGAGGGCCACCACCCTGCCATCAGGCCCCTAGAAAGATATCTAAATTAGATAACATTCAAAGTAGGTTTCATCGAAAATAGTGATGTGGTATGGTGTGTATAGTAATAGTATTAGTCTTTTTTAGACCGGGAACTACATTTTAAAGTGGACTCCGAACCGCTACAAACATCCATGGCACCGCCAGGACCTATTGTACTAAACTCCTGCGCTAACCACTCGGCCATCAGGCCCCTTGATTCGAACCTGAAGCCTGTTGTACCAAAGGCGAGAGCCCATGCAAATAGGCCATCAGGCCTCTTATTTCGTGTACTCTTTGTTCTCAATTAAACCTTTGTAGATCTGCTTCATTTGTCTTCCACGAAACACTTAAAAACCTGTTATAGCTTCTTAAAAAAGC